AACTAAGATGAAATTGATTGAAATTAATATTGAAATAATTACTAGAATAAATTCTCGGCAACAGTGCCAAAAACTTGTTGTCCGAATTTGGTATTGACAATTAATGTGCAAGTATACACGATCAACAAGTAAAAAAGTGATAAGTAAAGTATCATTCCCACGAAGACTTATTACTAATAACTTCCAAGTACTAACTTTATATCAATTCAATTTTATTTAAACAATTGGAATTAAACTATGAAATTACTAATTTCAAACTAGACCTAAACTTAATAATCAAGGGCTGAATTTACTGGCTAAAAGAAGTTAAGATTACAACTTCCTTTAATGCTTTGTATAAATCTTTCTAACAATCTTTCCAGTTAATCGATCAAAATAAATTGTCAACTGAAAACTCAAAGTTATTTATCAAACTTCTTCCGATAGTTAGATAAAATTATCTTTCCTAATTAAATTACTATATTCCTATGCAAAATATTTTAGAATCGATTCATTAGGTTCAAACTCTCATAAAAGTTACACACGACAAATAGGTATATTCTTATCCTATACACAAATCCAACTATTCAATCCTAAGAAGAATTAACTAGACGCATGTTATCATATTCAAATCTAAACCTAGAATTCATCTTCTAATTTCATCTAGATTATCAAATTAATTGGTAGCCAAACAATCATATATTAAACACAAAATATGACAAACAACTTATATACGATCAATAGAACTAGAATCGAGAGTAGATCAATTTAACTAGAATTAGGTTCTATTGCAATCTTAATAAAAATTTAGTTCATAACATAATTGAAAAACATCATTCTTAAATTAAACAACATCTCAGAAAATTAAGAAGTAAAAGTAAGAGAAAAGAATGAAAACTTAGTTGCAATCTTCAATCTCTCTCTAGCCTTCAAGTCCAATCTTCTTCTTGTCAATTCCTTCGATTCTTGTCTTCAATTTTCTTTCAATCCTTGGTCTTTCTCTAATGTTTTCAACCCCCAAAATTAGTCTATTTATATCCCCACTCAAACCCTAGCATCTATGTAGCATTATGGTTCAATTTCGAGTCAAATTTCGTGTCAACACCCAACACACGCGTAACAACGCTGAAAATCAATGTAGGGGCACTGAGTTACTATTTTTTTGGCACAGGGGCGTAGGTTCCCTTTTAAGCTTAAAGTTGCCCTTGTTGCTTAGCCTTCAAAAATCTAACATTTAGGCTCCAAATTGACTTTGTTTCCTTCCAAATGATCATGTTTTCTTCCAAATGATGATTCGTACAAAATAACATTAAAACACACAAAAAAAAAAAAAAAAAAAGCATAAAATAATTGAAAACTTGCAATTTCATTAAATCGAAAGTACTCAATTCGTATGTATAAAACTCACTCATCACTCTCCTAGGGAAAATAAGAGATGTAATTCACCTATTCTTTGGATGACCTACTTCTTCACTTTAGCATTCCGCATTGGTATTAGGTTCCCCGTTCATCTCTTCGTTCGAGACGTCCTTTCCTTCTATAACGTATGCCTAGTTAGGGTTTCCTCAAATGGCTGGGGCTTAATGGTCTGCTTTCTCGTTCACTGGTGCTAGAGTGGAAACACTTCTCCAACTACTATTCATGAGTTCGCCCACCTTTTTCAGCTTAAATCTTCTCTGGTGTTGGGCTTTTTCTATTTTTCCAAGCGGGTGAAGGTAAAACATTTGATATTTGGGCTTCCTTTTTCTAACAAAAGGTTGAATCCAAAGTTCTTCTTTGTTCGGGGTGATTGCTGGGAGTTCTTGGTGATATTCCCCATATTCCCTAGTCCTGGGGGATCCTGAGGAACACATGTAAGAGTGATAATTAAATACTTGATCATTGAATGTGAACTTTTCGTGGTTCTAAGCTTGACTTTTGGTTTGTGCACAAGTTTTCACCCTTCCCTTGACACTTCGAAGGCTGGACGGGTGGCTTTGGTTGAAGCCTATGGATTTTAAGTCTTTTTCTACTTTGGTGAATATGGAGAAGCTTGCGAAGTACGAGCTTGGTCCCCTTGTGGAGACATTGCCTAGCTAGACCGCTGAATCATTGTCTGTGGAGTCTCTTGACCAGATGGATTCTAACCTCATTATGGCAACATTTAGTGATGAGAGGAAGAGGAAGAGGAGGAAGCCGGTGAAAACTTTCAAGCTTCGTTCTTTGAAAAAATTGAAGCCGACGGGTATCACCTCGGGGCATAAACACGAGGATTTAATTTTTCCTGAAACCATCCTTCCTCCTTCCTTACCTCCCAAGCTGCCATTCAAATATGGACAACTAGTGAAAAGAGGCGAGCTCATCGAGCCGCCATCTAAGAATGAGCCCCCGGCTAAAGGAGATGAGCTTATTGAGACAACTTTAGCTTCTCATCTGATAACATTCTTCGAGGGGAAAAAGTTCGAGCAGGATCTTCCCAAGACGGGTACGCAAGGCAGTGGGTTCCTGTGCGATCCTGCAGCAGCTGTGGACGCAATTGGCCGAGGTAGTCCCCACCTTTGACCCCGAGGAGGCTATAAAGGTCAGCTTTAGAAGAAAGACCAAACAAGCCATCCAAAGCTTGGTTGAGGTATTGTTCTCTCTTGCCGCCCCTTTAAAATATTGTTTCGAGATTCTCCCCATTTCCCTGGTATAGTACATGCCTCTGTTACTTGGCTTCGACATGTATCAAGATGATGGAGTTTCATCATCGGCGTGTTTTGAGTGAACTAACTGGTCAATCTTTCGACCAGGCCCCCTTGCGTTTTGAACTTGAGAAGATCAAACTTGTCAAGCGGTAGCTAAGGGACGATATGGCTACAAAGGAGCGTGAAGGGGCACTAGATGCCATTGTTGCTGCCAAGGAGGGAAAAGTTCAAGCTGAGGAGAAGAGTAATGTCCTGATCGTCGAGTTGGCGAAGATGAAGAGAGCTTACGCCGATTTGGACCTGTCACGAAAAAAAATGCCGAGTTGAGAGTGAAGGATGAGGAGTTGAAGGCAAAAGTGGTAGAGCTAAAGTCTCGAGATGAGAAGATTACTGTGCTCATTAAGGTGAACACTTCTACCTTTGTGCAAGAGTTCATGAACTTCTAGGATCTAGTCAAGAGAACATATCCCGACCTTGACCTAGACTTTTTCATGCTGGAGATTGAGGCCTTGAAGCCTAAGGAAGCTACTATTAAGCATACTGAAGAGGTCGGGGAATCTGTTTCTTAGTTTATATCCGTGAATTGTTGTATATTGTGGTGGACTGTATTTGTTCTTTTTATCAAGGTTGTGTATCCAAAACTCTGTTCTTGGTTGTCAACACTTCCTATGTACCACCCTTTTTGCCTTGGATGTTTTTGTATGTTTCCTTGTTTATCTTTCTTTTATTTCCTCTTCTCTTTTTTTTTTGGCACCCCTCTTGGCTCTTAGCCTTGGAGGGTTGGGTGGGGTGAACTTCATTTCTTTTAGTTGCACTGACTTTCATTCATTGTGGTAGCGATATCCCAAGTTGTTATATGTGCTCATAGTTTTACTTGTGACTAGGTTGCATTACAAGAGTCCCTAGCTGGGAAGTCTCACCCAAGCTGTTCTAGATCACCCAGGTTATTTTAGAATTTTCTTCCCGTCTTTTTGTGTATCCTAAGTTTGACGATTTTTTTTAGTCGAGGCTATGTGCCTATGGAGGAGTGGGTGTCTCTCCAAAAGTAGCACCCACTCCCTTGATTTACAACACGTGGCCGGTGCAATTAGTGCGATGGACATGCATTTATTGCTTCTTTGCAGAGGGATGCGTACCGCCTAAAATCCCTTTAAATAGCACACCTCATTTGCAGGTTCTTGTCACTAGTGCTTGAGTGTTTTCTTCTTCATTCTCTAAGTTCCTACTTCAATTTTCTAAACCCTTTTTTTAATTTTTTTTTCCATAGCACAACCCTCTGCTTCTGACTACAACGCCCAAAGAGAGACTTTTCCAGATGTCGAAGTTAGTGAGATCGATGCAACGGGGGCTTAGACGCTATCTAGCCGCTACAATTTTCCCAGTGGGGGTAACAGTTCATGCTACAGGCAATGACCCTTATCACTGATTCTTAGCTAGCTGGGTTTGTTTTTTTGAGGCTCTCTTCCAGCTGGGCCTTAGGTTTCCTTTTTCGCCCTTTGTGAGAGAGGTTCTATATTTCTTTAGCTTTTGTCTAGCCATGCTATTACCGACTGTCTGGGTAGTTCTTTTGGCATTCCCAGTCCTATGGGAGTGTCTATTTATGCTGTCGGGTGCCACTTTATCTGAGTTTCTCAACCTTTTTCACCCTGTGGAGTTTTCTGGGCTCTATTATTTTATGGGGAGAAGAGGTGGAAAAGCCCATATTTCTGATCTTCCTCTCGAGCCTGAAGGTTGGAGGCGAAGGTACTTCTTTGTGTCTGGAACAGGCTGGGAGTTCACGTCCTAGGTAATCTCGTCAATTCAGGTTCCCACGGTCTGGAGGAGACATGCTCATCTTGGTGAGTTTTCCTCTACCAAGCTGCCCATCTTGTGCTTCTAGGGCTCTAACTTTGTCTCTCTTTCTTCTATTTTTTTTAAAGATGAATACCTGAGCTTAAATGGGGACGCGCAAGTTCGGGTTGATCAGGCTCAGACTCGATTCCCTTTCTCCTATGTTGAACTGATAGGGCATGACCCGTCTGACATCCCAAGCCATAGGTTTCTAGTATTCTTATAAGGTTTGAGTACGTTGTCTTTAATAAATCTTCCTGATCTACTGCTTTGATTGTCTTATTTCTTTAGTCCCTACGTACCTGGTCAATGAGAAGGATGTGATCGTGGAGCAGATGGGTCAAAGAAGGTTAGCACGGGCATTAGGGCCTCCTGTGAAGAAGGCGAGGGTAGTCAAGGATAGCCCCACATTGAGTCCTCCCGCCGTGCCCCCAATCCCGCTCGACTATTGGGGGAGTCACGGTCAGAGTTGTGTCTATTAATCCTAAGGTGGGACCAATTCGACACTGATCTCTTCTCGGGGGTATGGAAGGTTCCAACTTGAGGCATCCCGAGCTAGTTGTGGTCAGTACCTCTGGGGCTAGTCTTTTGGACTACGTGGCTAGAGGTGGCCGAGCTTTCATGGAGTTGATCCCTCAAGTTGACCTCATTTTCTCTGTCAACCAACCTTTCAAGGCAAGAACTTGAGACTTCTTGCATGCTTTTCTTAATGTAGGATATGTCATTTTCGCCTCCTCTAGCCTTGGTCGTAAAAACGCCTATCCACTTAACTTGGTTGTAGGTTACGAGGCATGTCTGTACGTTTGGCGAGGAGATCCATCATCTGAAGTTGGAGGCCAACAAGAGGGAGGCAAGGCTTGCTGAGCTTCAGTTCTTTCGCCAGTTGATTGCTGCCACCACTTTAGAGATCGGTTGAGCCAGTAATTGGATGAGTTGGTCAACTCGCAAGACAACAACATGGAACTAAAGGCCCAGTTGGCCCAATCTCATGCAGTCATTGTCGACCTAGAGGACTCCCTAAGCTCAGAGCGACAATTGGTCAATAAGTAGAGAAAGGAGATTGAAAGGACAAAAAGGGAAGCTGCCAAAGCCTTTGTGGATGGGTTCTTCAACTTTGAAGAGCAAGCCCATGAGAAGTTCACTGATCTTGGCTTTGACCAGTTTAAGCCTCGGTAACTCATCATCATGTATAGACCAATTCTCAATAGCCTCATTCCTTTCCAATCTACCCCGGATAGTTTTCAATTTGGTATCTAATTGTTGCAACTCCACAATCCTTTTTCGGAGAATTGGTTGAGCTACAAGGTTAAATAAGCATGGCCGATCTTCCTGTCTATCCACCAATAGATCAAACTCCTCCAAAGCAACAATCATCTTCCACCTATGAATAAAAAGAACATTGATTTCACCCCAGGACTTTCGGCTAAGTGCATCTGCTACTACATTAGCCTTTCCCGGATGGTAGTTGAGTATGAAATCGTAGTCTTCTAGATATTCAATCCACCTTCTTTGCCGAAGATTCAAGTCTTTCTGTGTGAAGATATCCTTAAGGCTCTTATGATCTGAAAACACTTGAAACTTTTCTCCATAAAGGTAACACCTCCACAACTTAAGAGCAAAAACCACAACGGCATGCTCCAAGTCATGAGTGAGATAATTTTGCTCATGAAACTTGAGTTGCCTCGAGCTATAAGCAACTACCTTACCTTCTCGCATTAGCACACATCCCAAGCCTCGTAATGGAGCATCTGTGTAAACATCGTATCTTTCCCCATTACTTGGAATAATGTGGACAAAAGCTGTTATCAACCTTTCCTTCAAGGTGCGAAAAGTTAGCTCACACTCTTGAGTCCACAAGAATCTTTCCCCCTTCTTTGCAAGGCGAGTCATTGGAATCGCTAGTTTTGAGAACCCTTCCACAAACCTCCGGTAGTAGTTTGCTAATCCTAGAAAAGTATGAATTTCGATCACATTCCTCGGTGGTTCCCATTTTATCACGACTTCAATCTTTGCGGGGTCAACAACTACACCCTTTTCGGACACAACATGGCCAAGAAATTACACTTCCTTTATCCAAAATTCATATTTACTCATCTTAGCATATAACTTATGCTCTCTCAATGTCTGTAGCACTACCGAAAGATGGTTTTTATGTTCCCCTTGTGTCCGTGAATAGATTAATATGTCATCAATAAACATAATAACAAACTGATCTAGATACAACCAAAATATCCTGTGCATCAAATCCATGATGGCTACATGAGCATTAGTCAGTCCAAATGGCAGTACTGTATATTCGAAGTGACCATACTGGGTACAAAAAGCTATCTTAGGAATATCCTCCTCCTTGATCCGTAGTTGATGGTACCCTGTACGAAGATCAATCTTGGAACAATACTTAGAACCCCTCAGCTGATCGAATAAATCATCAACTCCTGGCAATAGGTATTTATTCTTGACTGTCACTCGATCCAACCTTCGGTAGTCCGTGCATAACCGAAGTGTTTCATCATTCTTCTTCACAAAAAGAACCGGGGCTCCCCAAGGAGAAGTACCTAAATGGATAAACCCAATAGTCAAGAGATGGTCCAATTGTTTCCTTTGCTCCTTTAACTCCAAAGGTGTCATCCAATAGGGAGTAATGGATATGGGTTCGATTCTCGAATAGAGATCAATAGTAAACTCAATCTCTCTCTGTGGGGGTAACCCTAGTAGTTCATCTGGCAAGATATCTGAAAACTCCGACACTATCAATACCACATCTGATTGGGATCTATCTTGATCATCTCCCATCAAGCTAGCTAAGAAACTCAAACGGCTCCCCGCCTTAGCTTTCAAGAATCTACTACCCTTAGTAAGAAATGGATGGGAATAATTTCGTTCATTCATGAAACTGAAAACTACCCCTCCCGGTAATTGAAATGAAATCCGTTTACGAAAATAATCCATTACTGCACAGAAAGTAGACATTAAGTTCATCCCAAATATTATGTCATACCCCTTTATGTCTAATGCAACCAAATCTACAATTAATTCTTGCTCCCCAATTCAAAGCACACAACCTTTACACACCTTTCTAGTATCCAACCATTCTCCCTTAGGTATGTCAATACTCAAAACATGTTCTAACTTCTCAAATTTTAATCCCAAATTAAGAGCATATATAGAGTGTATGAATGAATGAGTCGCACCAAAATCAAATAAAATTGGGGCCCAAGAATTATAAAGAAGAATGATACCTTCCACAACTACATTGGAAACTTCTTCCTCCGGTTGGATCAAAACAAACACTCTTCCTTGATTGGCACTACCTGGGGCTAGAGCTCCTAACAGGTCTCTGCTATAGTGGTGGCTTGTTTGCATTTACTTGTCCTGCTGCTTGATTGTTCTTGGTTGAAAGCGAAAGACAGTTATTTTTGAAGTGCCCGAACCCTCCACATGCGAACCATTGACATGGGTCAGTGCATGCCCTATTATGTGTAGCCCCATCTCCTCGAACTATCTGAAGTCTTTATCTAACCACCTGGTCTGGTCGACGGTATGGTGCCGCCCTTTACACTCCACTACTGCTAGCACCCGTCTGGATCGGACCTCCCCTTGCGAAGTTCTGTCACCGCTGGTTGTCCCCTGTGTCTCTCTCCACCAGTGCAGCTCTGTCAACAAGATCCTCATAGTCCCAAATCTTATGAGCCACAAGCTTCTCCCTAATAGTAGGCCTCAAGCCCTGCTCAAAGCATTTGGCCCTCCTGGCCTTAGTAGATATGAACTCCGTGGCATAGTGGAATAGCTCATCAAACTTCCTCCCATACAAGGCCACTGCCATGCTACCCTGTCGTAGAGCGAGAAAGTCGGCACTCATCTTGTCCCTGACTAATTAAGGAAAATATATCTCTTGGAAGATTTGATCAAACTCCTCCCAGGTAAGAGCATTCGTGTTCCTCCTTCTCTTCACCGAGTCCCACCAATGATCTGCCTCCCCCTCTAGCAGATATGTAGCTAAGCCAACCCACAAATCCTCGGCTACTCCCATGCCATCACACATTTCTTTCACCCAGCGAATCCATTTATCCGTATCCAATGAGTGAGAGATTCCTTGGAAAGTAGGTGGGTGTTACCGCATAAATTCTCGAAAAACTACCATCCTTCAATTTTCGTCCCTGTTACCCGGTACATGAGCTAATGGATGACCCCCCCCGCTGTGGTTGTTGTTTCCATTCTGGTGTTGAACCAGAGTGGGTAGCTCCCTTAGGTATTGATAAATGCCATTCACGGCATCGAGAGGTGGTGGGTTTGCTTGACCTCCACGACCATGTCCACGTTCACCGTCCATCCTGCACATCGATTCATAATTTAGTTTCCTTGATGTACAAGACATCCTAGCTATTACTTTAATCTAAAGCATAAGGCTTGTATAAGCTTTAAGTAAACAATTCGTTCGACCTAATCCTATTGCTCTAATGGTAATCCATAACCTACAACTCCCATATAAGACCTAATTTCTAAGCTCTAATACCAAATCTTATAACGCCCCAAAATCCACCTGGATGACATTATTATCTAAAAATCATTCACATCACGAGAGCAACTAATAAAATCCATAAATAAAGATAATTTCATTCATCATCCCTAATATATAAAAATATCATCCAAAAGAATATGTCAATCATGGCCATTACATCCAAAAGAATATGCTAAACAATGGCAATTACACCCAAAAGAATATTCTCAAACTATTATCTCGCAGCAGAATAAAGAAAGTATTAACATGAGCATTATCGCAACATGAAACTTTAGTTTAGTACATAAAAATAACAATTCTAGACATCCCCTCCGGATCCACATGCCCATCCACTTTAGCTTCCCAATTCACCTGCTCATCAACTCTAAGCTCTTCCTTTAAACCGAAATTTGAAAATAAATATTATTTGTAGGGGTGAGCACTAAGCTTTATTGAAAAATCACCCCAAACTTGGACAAGGTTTTGCAAACATATAAAACAAGTCAGTCTCATTTCACAAATATCATATATAACTTTTGAAAGAAAACAGTGGCAGTTCATCCGATCTCAAGGTTTAAGCAATATCAATAAATTAAAAGAGATAAAACTAATTTTCAACAATAAGCTATTTCCAATCATAAACCATTTCCCCAACAACAAACACTATCCACAATTTGTACAATTTCCAACAATGTATATCAAACAATAACTTGTATCTTTCACAACAGTATGTATATGTGTATGTACTTGTATCTCAGGTATGATGTATGACATCGCATGAATAAATATATTGAGAATATCTTGGCTCACACATACACACATACCCAATTCTCGCAAGGATTCTCAATCTTTAGGAAGGGCATGTACCAACGCATCGATAGTGACGAATCTAATCCAGGAATAGTATACCAACCCTCAGTCTCGGTACCCGTGAGCAAATAGTAGTTTGGTTCTCACAAGGCACCAACTTCACTACGAGTGGTAGAAAAAATTTAAACCCGCACGAAGTAAGAAACGCATCTATTCACTTTCTAATATCCGGTCAATAGCCACCTATGGTCATCCAAACATCTACAAAAGATACAATACCCAATCAATTTCCTCAAATCACAAAGTAAATTCAAAAATTTAAATTTCACATGTATTATTCCAATAGAACAATTTAAGCAAATATGTAAGAGATCATTAAAAATATTATTTTATTGCTCAATACAAAGCACTAGAGTTTTTAAAACGAGAACAAAGGAAAAATCAAGAAGAAGATTTCATGTTTCTCAAAAACTAGGTTTTGACGTGAAGAACAAGGGTTTTATGGCTATCAATCATAACTTCACTCAAAACATGGTAATAGTTGCAAGAATATCAAGAATCAAGGATATCAATACATATATATAAGATTTAGAGTCAAAACATGTATATATATAAGCCCTAGATCAATGAACAAGAGTGGAAGAAAACCCTACCTTCTTCTTCCTTAGTGTTCTTGAAAAACTTGAGATTTTGATCAACTTCAAGGTGCAAATCCCTCTTGATCTTATGTTTTCTACCCTCCTTTATTGTTTCTCAAAGCTTTCTAGGGTTGTAAATGGTGTATGGAGGCTAAAAGAAGTGCCCTTATGTATTTACAGGGTGAGAAGTGGCCTCTTGTGCACGATTCTGAAGGTCTGAATTCATAAACTCACGTTCGAACGTCCTTTGATCTCAGTACTTTTGTTTTTCCATCCAACAAAAATTACTGGAACGCACTATCATTAGAACGGACTTTCACGTTCGAATGTACTTCTTATTTCTGCTAAAACTTTCAGTGAAGTTTTGGCCTATTTAGAGATCGATTTGAAAAATATTCAAAAAATACACTTTTGTAGCCTTGAAAGTCTACTATCTATTGTACAAATTTCAGCTCAAATGGACATAAGGATACAACTTTATGGTCCAAATACTAAGCAGTGTCTAAAATCCTTTCTACTCAAATTTTATCTAAAATGTGTTTGAACTCCGGACTACCTCCTAACTTCCAATCCATACCCTATTACCTCGCCTAATATTTTTTATTTATACTTTTTTAATCCACTTAGTTCATGCATACATTATCAAATATATTAGCATTCAAAAATAATTACATTGCTATATTAAGATAAGCATGTGGGGGTTTACAATATCACCTCCTCATGCAATTCCCAACTAAGGAAGAAATTGGAGAAGTGCGTAGGGACTAGGGAGAAGCCTGCGAGTGTTATGTATCCTTCATGAAGGGGAAACAACAAGAGGCTCTTCAAGTTGACTATCTACATCATAGAGGAGAGCTGGAGTGCTTGCAACTGTTGAAGGACCTAGAACCTATCTAGATAGGAGGTGGCCCTGAATAAGTCACCTATGTCAAAAGGATGCTCAAAGAAAACCTGATGGCTTCATTAATAGAGTTCTTGAACTCTAATAAGGTTGCATTTTCTTGGATACAGTCTAATATGAGTGGATTAGACCCCACCGTAATTGTACACAAGCTAAATGTCAACCCAAGCTTCAGACCAATTCGATAGAAACACCAAAGCTTCGCCCCTGAGTGAAATCGGGCCATTAAGGAAGAAATAACGAAGCTCTTGGATGTGAAGTCTATAAGAGAGGTACAATACCCACTGTGGCTAGCCAATGTTTTGTTGGTAAAGAAGACAAATAGGAAGGGGGGACTTTGTGTAGATTTTACTGACTTAACCAAGGCATGCCCAAAAGAATGCTTTCCGTTACCAAGGATCAACATTCTAGTCGACGCCACTGCTGGGTATGAACTGCTCTCCTTTATGGACACATTCTAAGGATACTACTAGATCATGAAGACTCTTTCATAACAAAAGAAAGTAACCTATTACTATAAGGTTACGCCAATTGGACTGAAAAATGCAGGAGCTACTTACCAGAGACTGGTAAATCACATGTTCAGGGAACTCATTGGCCATGCAATAGAGATGTATGTTGATGACATGCTCATCAAAAGCCTCTGAGCCATTGAGCACATTGAACATTTGAAGAAGACCTTTGACACCCTTAGAAGGTAAAACATGAGGCTTAATTCGGCTGAGTGCGCCTTTGGTGTGTCCTCAAGGAAATTCTTGTGATTTATGGAAACTCAAAGAGGAATACAGGCTAACCCAAAAAAAAAAAAATCAAAACACTATTCGAAATGAGGTCCCTATGAAATATCAAAGAGGTCCATGTGCTAATGGGTAGGGTAGCAGCGTTGGACAGATTCATCTCCAGGGTGAATGACAAGTGCCTTCCTTTCTTTAAAGTACTAAAAAAAGCCTTCAAGTGGACTTCAGAGTGTGAAGACACCTTCCAAGCACCCAAGGAGCAAATCAGTAAGCTACAAGTCCTAGTAAGACCAGAGGAAGGGGCACCTCTATATCTATATCTTGCAGTAACCCAAGAGGCAACAAGTGCAGTTGTCATTAGCCATAGGGAGAAGATCCAGAACAATCTCCTAAAATCTGTAAAAGCCTAAAAATCAGTCACTCATTTTTTCAGGCTGAACAAAAAAAAAAAAAAAAAAGGAGGATGGGAAAGAAAGCAAAGAAAGGATGGGAAATAAAGCAAAGAATCAAAAGACTAGTCTGTCGATACTCAAAAACTCATGTGAAACTTAACCGAACATGGCAGACACCACATGAAATTGGTAACCTAAACCCCTCTTTTTCAACTATAAAAACCAAGAGGACTAAGGATTTATGACATACCTCTTGATCGAATGAAATAGGGTTTGTAATATGCATCTTCTTCTTTTGTTTTATCTTCGTTCTTTTTTCTCCTTTGCTGATCTTCTTCGGTGTCGTGATGATAGGCAAAGAATCATTGTTGCTGTGACGATCAGAGTGGTTCTCCCTGTCTGCCTCTCCCTTTCTCTCATCTGAGACTACTGTGCAGGTAAGTATGGAAAAATAAAAATCTAACTTAAAAAGTAGATCTTTTTTTTTACTGAGTCTTTAAATATTTATTTTTGCCTTTAAAATCATATAAAAGCAATAGATCAAGTGGTAGATATTTAGGTTGCTAATCGGGAAGTCATAAGTTCGATTCCTATATCCCTTAACATGCTGTGTTTTTTTTCCTGTTTTATCTGGCTGCTATTTTTTTTTTCCAGACTTTTTACTGAGTCTGTAAATATATTTATTTGTCTTTCAAGTCATATAAAAACAATAGGTTAGTTGGTAGAGGTGCATGTTACCAAACTGGAAGTCATAAGTGCAATTCATATGTCCTTCAACAGGCATTTTTTTTTCTAAAGTATAAAATGGGTGCTACTATTTTTTTTAATGGATGCTGCTATTTTTTTTTTTTTTTTGCAGGCTGCTATGTTTTTTTTATGCTGTTTTTTTTTTGGATGCTGCTGTGTTTTTTTTTTTGTGGTAAACAAAGTCTCAATGTAAAAATTAGATACATTAATATTTTATAATAACAATTAAAAAATAAGTATTTTTTAAAATTTAATATAATGAGTGGATATATGTTCTATTTCAAATTATGTAAAACTAAATGTTACAATTACATTAGTTTTATATTTAAATTACTTATTTATTGAATAAATATTTCAAGTATTATTTTTAATAATCAAAAAAATTATAAGTGAAAAACTAAAATAGAAAAAAGAAAAATACAACCACATATTTTTGAAATTTTTAAATCAATCAATTGCATGTTATGTATTTAATTATTTGAAATTTGTGATATTGTAGAATGACTCCTAAACAACATGACATTGGTTGGGAACACGCAACACCAGTTGGTGGTGATCGAAGAATTATAAAGTGTAACTATTGTGGAAAAATAGTTCATGTCGGTATTACTCGAATGAAGCAGCATATTGGACATGTATCCAGTCAGGTGGAAGGATGTTCAAGTGCACCAAAAGAAGTGTCACAATTGTTCAAACAACATCTCAGTGATCGTAGTAAAGAAAGGGCTTCTAGAAAGAAGAAAAAAGAACTAATTGTACAATCATTACGAGATAAAGTTTTTTACAGCCTGGATGATGATGATGGTCAGAATAAAATTAAAGAGGGTGATTTTGAAAGAAGACAGTTAAACCAAGCAATGAAGAAAAACCGTCAAATGGCTTGGATGGAGGAAGAGGGTCGTAGGCACGCTGTATCAAATGCAAGTAGTCGTTCTACTAAGGGTCATTTTTTTGGTACTGGATCATCACAACCATTTGGCTTAGGAATCAAGCACTGACCACCACGTAGCAATAGTGTAAAGGAAGGTGTCAACGTGCCTGTAAGTAGCATTAATCTGTACATGTTCCCGTCTAAACAAAAGTCAGTAAAAGACATGTTCTCAAGTGAGAACCTGAAAAAAGTGGGAAAAACTATTTCAAAGTTCTTCCTCTTCAATGCAATATCATTCAATGCAGCTGATAGTGGGCCTTACTATCAATCAATGATTGACACTATTGAGGATGCAAGCCCAGGAATAAAGGGCCCTACAGGATATCAAGTTGGTAGTTCTTATTTGGAGGAGGAGGTTCAAGAGGTTGACATTTATATATTCTCGATGAAGGTAAAATAGCCTTAGTATGGTTGCACAATCATGTCTGATGGGTAGAGTTTTAGAACAAATAAATCCATTATCAATTTCATGATTTATTGTGATCGTAATATGATTTATCATACTTCTGTTGATACCACCAACATTTCAAAAACTGCCAACTATATTTTCTCTCTTATGGATAAAATTGTTGATGAAATTGGAGAAGAAAATGTGGTTCATATAGTAACTGACAATAAGGCAAACTTTAAAGCTGCTAGTAAGATGTTGATGGATAAAAGAAAACATTTATTTTGGTCTCCTTGTGCAACCCATTGTATCGATTTGATGCTAAAAAATATTAGTTATATGAAAGCAATCAAAAAGACCATAGATGATGCTAAGATGATACATCCTTTATCTACAACAACCTCAATGTGGTGAACTTAATGAAACAACATACAAGAGAGAGAGATTTATTAAGACCAGGTATAACATGATTTGCCACTGAATTCATCGCCATTGAAAGTCTTATTCGTTATGAATCGGACTTGAAAATAATGTGCACCACCAATGAATGATGTGAGTTCAACAAAGACAAGATGAGAAGAAAAACAAGAGATATAGTTTCAAACCTTATTTTGACTGACCAATTTTGGAAGAAGGTTAGAGAAGTTCAATCTGTCATGGAGTCTCTTGTTAGGGTCTTAAAGATAGTTTGATCAAGACAAAAAAATTGACTTTATCAATTGTCTATGAGGCAATGGACGGGACTATATTAGCCATACAATATTTAGTCAAAAATTGGAGAAAATACTGGGTCGTGATTGACAAAAGATGAGAGACCCACAGACACTTGCATGCAGCAGGTAAAAGTGTTTAAAAATATAAATTTTTTATTGAGTATTAGCTTGTAAAATATTATAGTTTTCCACTAACTTACATTTAATTGTCAAAAATTTTGCAGCTTATTTCTTAAATCCAATTTTTCAGTATTCTAATCAATTTTCCGACCATCATAAGGTAAGATCTGGTTTGAAAGAGGTTATTAAAAGATTGAAATCAGATTTGAATAAACAAGCAAGGGCAATGAATGAGGCATGACGATTTTTGATAATATTTATTATAATATGTATATATATTGATCACATACGTAATATATTACACAATAAATTGCAGATCAAATTATATACTGACAAACATGGTGAGTTTGGAAATGCACTCACTAAGAAAGCTGTATGTGCCTCTCTTCCAGATTTATTATTTAAATTATATGTATTTATTAAAGTATCATTTGTTACTCTTATGAACAAATACTAATGTTGTACATTTTTTTTTGTAGCTGAATGGTAGATCAATTATGGTGAAGAAGCTCCCATCTACAAAAAATTGCAGTCAAAGTCTTAAGTCAAACATGTTCATCATCAGGGTGTGAAAGAAATTGGAGTACATGGTCGCTAATCCATATAAAACTTCGCAATTGATTGGCAATGAAAAAGCAACATAAGCTAATTTTTGTGCACTACAATATGCGGTTGCGAGTTAGAAATTTGACATATCAACGTAAAAATGATGATTTTAATAATCCAATTGATTTGAACTACATTTTTAATGATGAAGATATATTAGATGAGTGGATAAGAGAAGGGGAGGAATCAGTTTTACCACTTGATAACTTAAGTTGGCTGGATGAAGGTATTCGTGACATTGAAGAAGGTGGAAATGGACGAGATGCAATTGATAAAGGTGACACTAACACAACTCCAACATCTAGCAACTATGCCACTACTAGAAAATCTAGAAAAGATACGAGGCCAACCAATAAGGGTACAAAGGCTATGAGAATTTTTGTCAGTTCTAGTGATTCTTCTTCTTCTTCTGATGATGATGATGATGATGACAATGTTGTTGATACTTATGGTGGAGGTGGTGGTGGTGGTAGTAGTAGTACTAATGATACTGATGCTAGTAATTATAGTGGAGATAATGATGAGGGCAACAAGAGTGGTGGTAGAAGGACTACTGTTGATGGTGGTGATACTCAGCTAGTTGACGGTATGTCATTGGCACAGGGGCAAGACAATTATTATGCTACACAAGATACAGACCATGAATATCGACTAAGGGCAATAAAACAATGGAGGAATTTAAACTCTTCTATTGGTGATGATTATTCTAATAGACGCCACCATCATTCACTTGGTCGGCAAGATATTAATGATCATATGCAGAGTTTGAGATTGACATCACATGAAGGATACATGCCTTACAGACATTATCAAAGTAGTGGTATAGAATCTACCTATGCACATGGATCATATGGATATAGTATCTCTTCACAACTTCCGAGATTTACTAGTACTAATAGTGTTGAGCATTATGGCCATCGACCTACGCATCTTGAGAGATCTACCAGTACTAGTACTGGTGGCTACTATGATCATATTCTAAGGAGACATCATGATGGATCTTCTAACACGACATCGGATAGTGTCAACTTTTATGGATATGATCAGTGTTCTACTAGTAGTGGCCGTGAATATCGTGGTTATTGGTACTTTCAGCATGAGAACTAGCCAGTACAACATCCATAGTCACACTACTTTGATTATGAGTCATCTAGTCAGTCAACTCAACTAACCTAATCAGACCCGTATTCACACTTGTACTCTTATCCTTATGGTGGACAGTATCTTAATTTGTATTATTCTAGAGACAATAACGACGATTTTGAGTCCATCGTCATTCAATATTACAATGATTATAGCTCAATATGTTCTTAAATCCCTACATTGAAAATCAATAATGATAAATATTTTCGGTAGCGATTTTATGTTTCAATTTAATTATGTTTAATGTGTTTTTGGATGTCTTGTGGACATATGATGCATGAATGATGATGTTTATATTTTTAAAATTTTTTTAATTTTTTTTAGAGTTTCTAACTTGCGTTTTGAGCGTATCGGCCGATACTGCACCACAACGCCGCGACCGATATGTATCAACACCTTTTGAATTAATAACCGACACCGCGACTTTGAACCATAGCTAACTGACGGTCACGCCAAAATCATCAAAATAGTTGGTGGATAGCTGGTTCTGCCCCAGGAAAAGACAGAAAGAGAAGGGCGATTAGAAAATGGGAGACAATGCCTTTGTGCTTAAGTGGCACAGTAGAAATGCCAGAGCTTTGAAGATTTATAGATGACAAACTACAGGTTGGGTGAAGTTCTAAACGCTCTTGGGAACTAAATTTCCTTTCAAGTTTATTGAGGTGATAGGCACCTAACATAAATATTAGTTTTCGGTGATATACTCAGATTGTAGGCGAGTTTAGCTCCTTCCTCCCATTTTTCAATAAAACCTTGAAACAAATTAAAGAAAATTTTGCCGACAGTTTTTTCTATTTATAAAAATATATGGTGCCTTTATCATCTACTCACTTGCTTGATCTGACAATCAAGCGTGATTCAACACTTGTTACAGAAACAAAAACAAAAGGAAAACAATTATTCTTTAGTAATTCATTTCAGAGGTTGCAAAACCAAAATTAGAAAACAGTTGAGAGACTTTTGTATTTTTCCTTTCTTAAAAAATAGGCAAGACCAGCGTGGAGCCTAGGCAGTCAAATCTAAATCATAAGGTTTTGACTTATGCGCGTGTACATCTATATTATTTTAAAATACCACCGTTACCCTCCAATAATATAAATATGCCATATTTCTTCTTCAAAATTAATGTCATCCTAAACTTAAATCATCAGCCAGGCTCCCTCTGTTGTGTTGTCTGTTCACCTTCCCCTTTCCTTCTGCCTCTTATTAATTCTCCATTATTGGCCCTACAGTTGTACAGCATCAATGGATTCTCCATACAGCTTCGGTTCTATACCTTCGGTCATTGTCCTCTACCAAATTTATTCCAATTACATGAATTCAATTACAGAATTCCTTTGTGTCGTTTCATCTACTGTCACATACCTTAACTCTCAGCGTCCAAAACTACTTCAGCTTATCCAACGGACACTGCCACCCTTGTAATCACTCCTCTTTCTCTCTCTATCCGTCCACCTTCTTTGGATTGATCAACTTTTTCCCTTCCGTCTCTCCACATGGCAATGGTGTCTGAGTAAGGAACGAAACTCGACCCAACTGTTGACTATCATTCAAGACTAGCCTCTGACGCGTCCTCAAGTGGACCCCCATTCAATCGCCAACGCATCCAATTGCCGATTCCTTCAGGTATAACTTATAATTCCTTCAATTTTTGTTTGTGTAATTGATTTTATTTCTAATTTTATTTGAATCACTCTCCTGTTTGGTTGTTTGAGAAAAGGTATGAACGGACAGAAACTTGAGCATCGATTTTTATGTTCTCAACTCGATGAAATGGAATATTGATTCTTATGCTCTCAACTCAGTGAGAATCTCAAGGTTTGCACGTTTTGTAGTTCTGGGTTTTGGGGCTTTGTATTTGTAATTAGTTTTTAGTTCTTGTGTTCAGTTCTTTGGTATTATTCTTGGCGTTTTTGTCAATTAGCTTTTTGTTATATAACGCAATTCCACAGTTTTTCTTGCTTCATTAACTGTATATTTGTTATTGTTATTATTCATGGTTGCATAGTGTTATTTTGTAATGTTCATAAAATGATTAATTATGGGTTCCATCGATAGAACCCATTTATGGGGATTTATCGATACTTTCTTTTTCTGGTTACTTAGAGTATGCATGCAATGATTTTGTGTCCTTTGTACCAAGTGGTTACTGAATCTTTTCAATTTTTTTCTCTTTCTATGCCTTTTTCTATTTTTGTTTTTTGAACACCAATTCTGGTGTTCTCTGCTTAGCTAGATAGTTGTAGTATTAGATTTATTTAGGTAGAAGCCAATTAAAACTTCTGTTCGTAAAGTTAGTTAATTACAATTTTAGACCATGGAAAGTTCATTAATTATAATTTTAGACATAGTAGAAAGTTAGTTAATTATAATTTTAGTCATTGATACAAGTAAATTATGTGCCAAGAGTGATTGTTAGGTGGAGACCGA